ACAAAAAATTTGAGAAGCTACTTCGCTACTTTCTACCAAACTTATCGCCATTTAATTTAGACTAGAATTATAAATCAAGTGAGATTCTGTAGTATATGTTGAAGCAGAGCAGCTTGTATTTACGCTGTTCTGATGCTACACATACGATGAGTTTCTCTCGCTTTCTTCTAATCCATTTTTACTCAACATCTCGGTTTGCTACGTCTTTTGGTACAGCGTTCTTGTTTTCAGACTAGTTTTTTTACGTATCAAAGCAACTCTTTGCCTTGACCTGGATGGTTCATAAACAGCTGCAAACAGATGGATGAATTCTATGTTACATACAACTTTGAAAAACAAAAATATTATATCCATGACTCTCGGTACACGGATCAAAAATTCAAGTTCTTCAGATTTTCCACTAGTCTCCAGTCTTTTTTTTCCACAAACTCTACAGTCTTAGATGTTTGCCATAAGTCACTTGGAACGTAAGTCCTTGAACTGAAATTTTTTTCGAAGAGCTACCCAGGGCGAAGAATCTTGCAATATGATCTGATAAAAACATGTTACAGGATACCATAAGATTCCACAAGATTATGAGAATACATCCTTCTCCGCGATGTTGAACATTTGGGAATCGATTCCTGAGATTCCGGAATTCATTCACAACGGAACTCTGCGGAATTACTCTCGATTACCGAGTTGCACAACTCATTCAATACTAAATTTCGTGGAATTCCGCGAATTCCTTTCCAAGCGGAATTGCACGGAATTCCTTTTGATTATGCAATTACTATATTCTCGATTAAGCTTACTACGATTAACCTCAGCTATATGAAATCCAATTCCGATACGGAATTCTGGGAATATGACAATTCCTGTTCCAGCGGAATCACACGGACTCACTACGAATTTCGGCATTGCCAGCTTTTCTCCTTTCGCAGTCACACTCACCTTCACTCTCACCCTCAACTTTGAGTAGTTCTGGAATTCCCTTTTGAATGAATTGGGGAATTCCAGTAATCGATTCCCCACCGGAATCGATTCCAAAATGTTCAGCATCGCGAAATAAGATGAGTGCTCGTGGAACTTTGCCCGCTTTAAGTCGATGTAAGTTTGAGAGAACCTGTGTGCAACCACCTTACCTAGATTATATTGAAAAAAACTGTCTTTGTTATCATAAGTAAATGTAAGATGTTTCAGCGTCGATAAACATTATTGTCAGATAATAAAGTATAATAAAATGGAATAAACTTAGCTAAACTTTATAAATATGTGAAAAGACACTAAAAAATAATATTATGTATGTGTATTCGATAGTGGACCACAGCAAGACGACAAAATATACTTATTTATTTTCATTCCATCCATTCTTTTCTTTCATTCCTATATTTTCAAGAGCTTTATAGGCGAGTTGTGTGAATGAGTAAAATGACTTCTCGCATGCGGACGGAACAAGAGATAGAAAAAACGATGGCATCGACGATAGAAAGAAAAGAAATTAACATAAACGTCGTATATGATAAGTTTCTGACCGTCACTGACTTCGTTCAAAAGTTATAAAATGTTTTGAACGAGCCTTGAAAATCTCTAAAAATGCCATGTAATCGCGCCACATTGATTTTCAAAATCCGTATTTAAAAATATGTTTGACTTTCTACTCATGAAAATACGATACCAAAAGAACCTAGAGTTTTAATTAATATTCAATGATTCATCCCTTTAGGGGCCTGAAAAGGACCATCCCTCAGAATAAAAGCCAAATGACATTTTCTCTTGAATTACTATCAAACTTTGACTTTTTGCTATTATCCATAGTAATTCAAGAGAAAATGTCATTTTGGCTTCGATAGTTGATGATCTCTTCTTTTGTCAAGCGTCAGGTGTACCACCTGAACATCGGAATGTCCAAAGTCTCGATATATGAAAAGATGCAGTAAGGTATCCTGTAGAAGATGGTAAAACGCGCATCTCTCTGCTACCTTTCGTTGTCAGGTTATTGAAAAATCTTCTACGCCCTTATATTTTGAAATGGATAATAACAATTGATGTACAAAGTTCAGCCTTCATCTCAAAAGAAGGGATTCAACTGTAAGAATGAGTGAACTTTGTAGCTGTGTAGTAAGGTCAAAACAGTTGGGGATCTAAAAAAGTATTGTGATCACAGTTTTGAGTGGACAACATTTCTGAAAAGTTAAGACAAAAAGATTTTATTCTGAGAGGTGGTCCTTTTCAGGCCCCTAAAGGGATGAATCATTGAATATTAATTAAAACTCTAGGTTCTTTTGGTATCGTATTTTCAGAGAAGTCATTTTACTCATTCACACAACTCGCCTATAAAGCTCTTGAAAATATAGGAATGAAAGAAAAGAATGGATGGAATGAAAATAAATGTAAAGTATATTTTGCCGTCTTGCTGTGGTCCACTATCGAATACACATATACACAATATTATTATAGTGATATGGACAATTTTACATCGTTTTTTTTGCGTCAGAAATTAGTTGGAATTAGTTTAAAATTATTTAAAAGTTTCAATGGGCAGTGTTAAGATTTTGATTGATCACGTTTTATAATTCCTGTCCTTTTGTCTTATAGATCCTTTCTCTAGAAACAAAATGATACTTCAAGTGCTCCGAAACGCTTTTGGGAACTTTCCAATGACACTTTGTCTGCAACACGTGCGAACGAGGAATTTGATTTGTACACAATGCGTTTTTATTTTTAACAGAAACAACACGTATACACGTAAAACTTTATAATTTTGTCCAAAGCAAAATATCGAATTCATTTATTCTGTTGTGTGGAATAATTTGATAAAAGTATCGTTTCCCATACATATCTTTATTAAATCATTTTTGTTGATTTCACCCGCACCAGTAGCGTTAATAATAGTCTGTGCTATATCTTTACAACCTGAAAACAAGAGAAAAAAAACAAATAATAATTAATTGTATGAATTCTACTTGTTTTACCAAGTTTTTTACCTTCGTCAATAGAAGCACCAACCATAGTGTACACTGTTCCAACATAATCTTGTATGTCTGATGAGTTAATAAATTTAGCATCTTCGCCGTCTTTGTTTTCTATAGCTAGAAAATGAAATATGTAGATTTAATTTCACCATGAAAGAGTTGCTACTTGGTATGAAATCGTAGGTCTATTTGATTCGTTCCAAGAAAAGCTCAAGATTAGTAGTAAGTGTTTTGAACGAGCTACGTACACCCTTCATGCAACCAAAACTCTAGCTACGTCTACATTCTTGAAAAACATTCTTGAAAAGTATCGCAACAGTTTAAGAACTTTCACATTACCAAATTTTCTACGAGAGCAGTGTCAACAAAACGCGAAAGTTTATTTTTTTAAAAAGACCGGTGAAAAAGACGTTTTTTCTACGTCGTTTCTTGACAAAGAATATTCATCTACTGATCCTAAACTAACGTTATACAACCAAAAATAAAACGAAGACCAACGCGTTTTTGTTCAGAAGCGTTTAAACCGATTTTCTTCTCGACTAGTCACGAAGACGCCAGTACTTTTTTTTTCGTTTCTAATCGTCTTTGATAAAATCAAGTTTTTTCCAGTTTTTCCTATAAAAAAACGCATTTTTCGGTTTTTTAAAAAGAAATAAAAATTTCTCGTTTTGTTGAGACTGCTCTCCTAGAAAATTTGGCAATGGGTTCCATAGCTGTAGTTATCAGCTGCATGCAAGGAAGGAAAAACAAGAAATTTGTCATCAGTTGTACCAAAAGCACCTTTTGAAATTGTCAACAGCTTATTATATAAGCCGGTAGGCTTCCTACGATTAAAAAAGTACCAGCTAGACCTACCCAGAAAATAGACTTCAATCGAATATGTTATATTTTCTTTTATATCATTTGACACATGAAATTTTCGTTCAAGTTTTAACATTTTTAATTCATCGTCCTTTTTTACATTCTCTTCATTCACTTCAAATATCCTTTTTTTTAATTGATGTTGTTCTAAATTTATTTTTTGTAATTGTGTTTCTAATCGGTGTTGTTCGTCTTGCAATTCTCGTGAGCGCGCCTGACATTGCTCCAAATTACACGTAACGTGTTGCAACTAAAAAAAGATTAATTGTTACTAATGAAGAAGTTTATTTTACGCTCGCTTCCTTTGCCAGAGAGAAGCATAAGTCTTTGAAAGTTAGACTAGTCCTTACTACGCCTTAGGACCACGATTGTAAGCGGATGGGTGACCGTCACTGAAGATCAAATTGTCAAGTTATTTAGGAGCACGACATACCAAACACGTTGCCTCTGAGATACAAAAATTTTACTTTCATCACTCGTGAAAACTATAGATGTGGTAGTTTTTCTTACATTAAAAATTTTATATCTCTGCGAGAACTTGTTTGGTATATGTGAAAGCTTGTGAACCTGTGTAACTTAGCTCGCTCTACAGACTGGCCATATCAGAATCTCTTCATTCAATTAAGCAGTTTTTAGTGAAAAATCGCTGTTGGAATTGTTCTCAGGTTTGAAATACTTCTGTTCGTGTTAGAAATACTTGACAGCTCTTAGGGACCTATATCTATATGAATTGGTTTGGGTCCATGGGCCTTTGACGAAGATATGAGTTAATTAATGACAATGTGATTAATGATAATTAAGTAGTAAACTCACATAGAGAAATTCTGAATCCAAATTCAGAACATGGGCCCAAACCAATTTAGCGTTTTTCACTGCTCATTATTCCCAACATAATGAAAACAGTCTGAGTCAAAAAACGATTTATCACCTCGGGCGGTTCCCTCTTTAGTGTTTCGACCTCTTATCCGATGATATATGACCCGACTCAATTCACATCTGGTCTGCATACATGAAATCAACACCTCTCTGTCAAATTGACACTTCATGAAAACGCTACCGCAAGCAATTGTTTTTTGCTAAGATGCCGATTTTTCGAAATTTAAATATCTTTGAATTTCTTGACTTGTACCAAGACTAAAAACAAGATTGTCGGTGAGTGAATCTTGCATTCAAGATCTTGGTAATTCTACCGTTTTGTTTCTCACTTTTGTTTATTATACAAAATAACTTGTTATTTGATAACTGAGTTATTTTTATTTCTTGAACATATTTATTCGAGAAAGAGCTTACGAGCGTATATGAACTTATGTCTGACCCTTCCCGATGACCATCTTATTGAAAAGAAAAATATTATAAAAGTTTTTTATTCAAGTTCTTAAACAATCCTGGCTTATTTCATACATGATCTTTTTTTTTTTTTGAAAATTTTCAAACAAACGATGTTACATATATAAAAGTAATTTCGTACATATGATTTTATATAACATAAAGATACTATAATTCTTATCTTTCGTTTAATTTATGACAAGGTAAATGAACAAAGGAAAGAGAAAGAGTACATGTAAGTAATTGATAATATTCTATACACTCCCATAATCTTCCATATTATTCCGGAAAACGAGAGATCGCTTTTTCCCCTTTGAGCCATTTCATCCTGTCCTGTAGTCACGAAAGTTTTGCCTAGTCCTGGATAATTCTTTCACGGTAGGACACACCTGTACTGTGTCAGTGTTTGGTGTATAGTTCTACATTATTATGCTTTATGTATTTAAATAACTCGTCTTTTCGAATAGTCCATCCAATAATCGCCTCATTTGAGAGAGTATAATACAATAAATTTAATACATCATTGCGTTTTTCCTGTAGAACGAACTATTTTCTAAACTAAACTAATTTCTGAAAATGTTTGGAATCTCTTCATAAAAGGAAATATTTGTTAGTAAGTAAGCAATGGCTAAAACTTTTGAGTTCTATGTAACAGTGTATGCTCTTACGATCTTTCTCGATAACACTAAGGAGGAAACCTTCTGAACATTTGATCACATAGGTATTTCAACGTGATCTACAATCTCGCAGTGCCAAGATATCTTCAGCTGGATATTCTCTATAGATATCCTCTATAGAGACAGAAACAATTGGCGTGAATTAATTAATAGACATGTACAATCCTCTTCTGTCGCTTCTAACAAGAAGTTAGTAATACAGGAGTACAACGATCGTGCAAACAGAAGAAGATCAGCCATTCTACAGGAAGCTGCTCAGCGAAAGGTGACTGAAGTATTTCACAGAGTAGTGACGATCACAATCTAAGCTAGATACGTTTGGAGAATGGCGGTCTGATGAATGACCTTGAATTGATAGCAGAATGTGAACGAACAGCGGTTCAGATGCCAAAGAACACTAAAACTTTTTATTTTGTTTCGTATGTTTTTTGTCTCACCCTATCCCGAAATGTACCTAGGTATACTTCCTAAATTATATTTAATGCTTGCCTAGTTAAAATTCTGCTAAATAGTTTTAGTAGACCAATAAGTTTGTTTATTTTTGACAGCATATAATTAATGCGTTCACTCCAGTCCAATTTATTTGTTATAATTAAACTTAAATGCTTGTGAACATCAACATGTTTTAAAATGTCGGGACCAAGAGTTAATATAGGCTTTGTTTTGGATGAACTTTTTAGAGAAAAACACATCGCTACATATTTATAGCATTTAATGAGAGCTTCCAGTCTTTTGACCACTGATTAATAGTGACGTGATCGTTATTCATATTTATTGCTGCTCGTAATATGTCGGTAGCTCGAGTGTAGAGTGAAACATCATTTGCAAATAGTTTAATAGTACTCATAATAGTGTTGTACAAATCATCAATATAGTAGCGCTTTTTGAGTGGCGCCACTAATCGCGCCAAAATACGAAAAGTGATTTGAATCAAGAGATACTTTGCTGACCTTCGATTCATATAATAAGCTCGTCAGGAAAAAATTTTGAACCGATTCTGTCCTCCGTAAAAAGTCGATTTTGCGCTAATGGTTTAACGAATTTTGCACTTCTAATTTGAATAACGTTCGATAACTACGGTTGTCATTATCATATCACCTTTCAATTTTTGCTGTTACGTCGAAGGATAAGCTACCACCGATTTTTGTGATGACTTATCTTCACTTTCATCTTCCGCGAAACGTGATTATCGTCTTTTGCCGTTTGCTGTCGCGGTAACAGCCTTTATCGTATACATCTAAACTGGATCACAATTATCGCTGATTCGTAGCGCCAGTATTGAGCTGCATTGTGGTTGATCGAAGAAATAGTTCAATAAAAGATTAAAAATGAACACAAAGTAGTGGCGTAATCAAGGTACGGCGAGGTACTTGGTACTTTCGCCGTACCCACTGCAGAATTTGGCAGACACTACCTCCAAAAAGTTTTGGAAGGCGGTACGGCCACCGCCGTATCTATAGCCAGTTTCTGGTTACGCCACTAACACAAAGAAAGGAGAAAGATACAACGGAGCCACATTAGACATCCTGAGTTTTCACTGCATTTATGAGGTGACCGTGAAAAGTAAAATCTTATCGATAGAACATCTTTGCTGTATTTTTGCAAGAATAACTCGTTCTGAAGTGTCCTTTAGAAGAGATCATTATTTCAGTGCTGAGTGTCGTCATTTTAAGGACATTGATCAATGAAATTTCTTTTGTAAAATGTGAGTTCTCTCGTTAGAATTGGTCGTTTCAGAGTGGTGTTATTTGAAGCCAAAACGAAAATAACGTAATTTAACTGATCACAAAAAGCTAGCAGTGTGATGTAATGTCAGCAAAAAAAGCACTAAAATGCTCTCTAAGAGAGACGAAAATAGGTTACGCTATGAAATGGTCCTTTTCTTCTGCACTGTTAACTCTCCACCTCTCCTTATCAAGAATCCTGCCTAATTTTAGCAGAATGTTAATCTTATATAGATTAAATCAGGATGAAAGTTTAATTTTGAAAACTCGGCCTTTTCCAGAATTATCTTAAAACTGGTGGTCAAAAACTATAAACTATGTCATTTAAAAATATTTGCAGTCCTTATAATGACGACGATAAATGTATCAGTTTTGTGGAAGATGAACAACATAATTTTTGCTTATGTGGACATAAGAAACATAAGCATTACTTTGGTATGTAACAATGAACTTTTACGTGATATGAAAATTTCTGTAAATAAAAAAAGTTTTTCGGTAGGAATTCCTCTCACTTTATTTCTAAGCACTGCCAAAATGAAACAACGAATACGAAAGCAGAGAAAAAAACAATGTAATATACATTTACCATTTTATTTGTCCTGCTCTTTTTGTCAATTTGCTGAGAATAAAGTTTTTCTTTACTTGTTTGTTTAGTTAAAAATACTTTCTGTAACATCCACTGTTTTTCTTTTCGTCGTGTGCAGCCCAAGCTATATGTAGTTTTTTCATCTCATACTGCTTTTGTGTGAACTTGATTTTCGAATGACAGAAAGACACTTCAGTGTGTAAACAGGTCTCCAGTAACCGTAGAACTGCTTTTTTTTCCAATGCTAAAGTAAGTTTTTCGATTTCTTCCTGGCTTTCTTATGAGTCTATTTTCTCGTAAAATTTGAAAAAGAATCATTTCTTTTCAGAAATCGAAGAAAGTTCGAGGTTTTTGTCAACAAATTAATTGTTAATCTTTTTGTATGTAATGTCGTTCAGCCCATTCTTTTGAAATGTTTGACGCAGCCTGCTTAGCTCTTGTTCTAATCATTAGTACTGGCAGCTGTACAACTCTATACTATTTAGCGGCGTTTTGTAACTCAAAACGCATACAATCGGTAAAAAAAGTATTCATACGGCACGCAACGAGCACATTGTGGATGAATTTTTTCAACTAAGGAAAGCAGTAGCTGAGTCGGACTTTCACCAGTGGTAGCTGACTCTTTCAACTACTCATCCATGTGAAAATTTCTCTCTTCTTTTTTTGAGATCTTCTAGGCTTTCTAAGCGGGTTTTCAAACCAGGCCGTTTTTCTGCAAAAATAGTAACCATATGGTCGACTTCTCTTCCTCATTCCTCTGTCATTTTCTATCCAAAAATAAGAACAAGGACACTATTAGATAGAAAAACGTATCCTCTTTTCGATGAACAAAAAAAGAAAATTGGAGGTTTCGACCTCAAAACCTCGGATATTGCATCAGAAAATCATGGAAAATCGACTTTTATAAAAACAAAAGTTTGTCTAAACACAGGAAAAATACATAGAAAGATGCGGCTTGAAAATCTGCATCTGATGCCATTATTTCTGTCTAGAATAAAAAAGAAAAGCATCAATTAAAAGCAAAATAAACTAGTTAGAAAAACAATCAAGTGTAATGTTTATTTTTTTCTTGCACAAGGCTCGACTTTAAAATTAAGATTTTTTATATCAACTTGTAGAAAAAAAATTCTAAATTTTCTGAACGACGTTTTTCCCGAAATTGACTTCAGAAAACGAGTTTTAGATCTAACATCTGTGTTTTCATTTTGTGTAAACAAGAAAGAGAAAGTTTTTCCTTTTCTTCTCCGCTGTTTTATCTCTTCGCGTTGCATATGAACATCTGTTTTTACAACTATCTCTCCTAAAATCGATCATTTCAGTTGTTCTTTTCACTAAAAACGTTAACTTTGTCTCTAAAATCCACGTTGTAATTAAAAATGGTCAAACTTAAATATAGTATGCACAGAAGGAAAGAAAAAGAACGCGTTTCAACTTCAGATTGTTACAAGGGTTATTAGAAGACCGGTTTTTTTGCACAGAGGGAAAAAGTACTGCTCAACTGTCTCTGAAGATGTACGCATTTTTCTTGCAATAAGCAAACGTAAGAAAGTAATGACTACATTAATTTGAAGAATCTTTTCTCTGAAAAAATATTTGCTCCAAGCAACGTCGGAACAGGTATTTTAAGACAAAATATTTCTGCTTTTGGAGCTGTCTCGTTATTGAGATATGAGGAAACAAAAAACAGTGTCATTTTCTCACAAAAGACAATGAATCACTGCCCAGGCCGACGAAATGGGCAGCTAAACCATAAGAGACCCATTTCGTTTAGACTTTTCTCACAAGCACTAATCCTAACTATCAGCAGAATATGAGCTCAAATGGCACCGGACATTGGGCGATGCTTTCTCCCTTAGTTTGTCGTAGTTGCAAATATATACTTGTTCATAATCCACAATGACCGGACAATAAGGAGAAACAATTCTGTAACTCATTTCTATTTATGTTACACAGCCTTCACCAACATCGGCATGTCAACAACAAAGTGTCAAAACATATTTGGAAGGTCTTATGTGTTCAAGAGTTTGTTTCTCTGAATGTATTTTAAACTTCTTTTGAAAAATTGAGGTATAAAGATGATTTAGAGAATGGATCGAAGTTAATGTAGTTGCAATAGTCTGTATTACAGAATTTCAAATTAGGACAAAGATTACTGCATTTGGGTGTTTTAGATTTCGTGCCAAAATTCTGGAATACTTTCCGCCGAACTTAAAGTCACTATTGTCACATCTTCACCATAATACTTAGGAATCTGGTCTAGCTAAACTACATTTATAATTAGTGTTGCAAATCAGGCAATTGAAGATTAATTAAAAGACAGAGAAAGAAAACACCTGTGCAGTTGTGGTATACGTTGATGTTTCACATGTATTCATAAATACTTTTCAAAGTTCAAGAATAAAATCAGTAATATATAGGCTCTTCATAACGATTTGATCACTTTAACCCTTTGACTACCATTGTATAAAAAAAGCTACACCTGTTTTTTTCGTATTTCTCATGATGTAATTCATAAAAATTAGTACGTAATCTATTGAGATACACAACAAGGTTTTATATAAGATAACTGATATGGTGCCTCTAGACAGAATGGTTAGAAAATACCGTCTAAGATGGTTGGGCCATGTTAGAAGAATGGATGATTATCGCTTACCAAAAAAGATTCTATTTGGTAAAGTTGTTGATGGCAGTCAAGGAAGAGGAAAGCCTTTGACCGATTGGATGGATTGCGTTAGGGATGATTGTGGTCTCACTCAACCCCAGATACCAGTTGGACAGTGGGAAAGGAAATCAAAAAATAAGATCGAATGGCGTTTAACTCTCTCGTCCCTAACTTCAATCCGATGAAGAAAAAGGACAATTATTATTATTATTATTATTATTATTATTATTAATCTATTGAAAAGGAATACTACTACTATTCGATAGTCAAAGGGTTAACGTGATGTCAGAACGATTTTCATACCTTTGTACTGATGTTTTAGCCTTATTTTTTTGTCATTTTAAGCGCTTTGTAGTTTTCTCAATACATATAGTCAGCTACTTGTTGCTAATGCCGTTCGACTACGTTAAGAGACAAAGTCCATTTTTTTGTTTGAAAGAGGACACTTGTAGTTGGTGACTCCACTGATCTCCATTCAAAAAGGTCTAGTCGAGCAGGTAAAATTTTTTCATTCAAAATTTTACCGCTTTTTCATACAATTTTACAGTATCTTGGATAATATATTTTGTTTTCTTGTTTTGTAGGTACTAGTAGTGACACTCGTCATAAACGAAGTCTCGACAAAATGTTAGGTGATTTAGCAGCTAGCGAAAGTGACGGAGGTAAATAACTGTTTTTATGCTTTCTCTGAAAACATTTCTCTTGTGTTAGAAAACAAGGTGTGTTATTAAATAGGAAGACATGTGAGATTAGGAATGTTTCTCATAATCATTTCCATTTCTTTCTATTAGAAACATATGATAGTGATGCTATCTATGATCAGAATCTAGGTCTTAGTTTACCAAAAATCGAATATCGATTGTTCTTGTATCTAAAGTTATCTTCAGGGAAAGCAAGAACTTTCTTTGTAGGACAGAAATATTTCATTATCATAGAAGTTATTTTTTCAGTAGAAATGCTAGAAAAGTAGCGTTTCCCTCCATTGCTCTTGTTTGTCGCGCTGAGTAGCTGAGCTGACTGCGGAGAAGGATGTTGCGACGTCACTCAAAAGTTTGGATTGCATAGCTATTTGGTTTGAATTACTGCCGTGAGAAATTTTCTTTATATAGTTGGAATGAGTAGAGATAAAAAGTAGCTGTGCTGCTAAGATTATTTCATCTTATTATTAGTGCTTTTTGTAGGAGATATTAAAAGAGTCTTGGAAAATATTTCTGAACAAGGCTGTACACGTGTCCTATCTGCATTAGCTGTTAAAGAAACTTCAGTTTCAAAATTAAGTTACACAATAGTAGACGCAATTATTAAATTATTGGAAATGAATATTATAGATGGTGAACCTCTACAATTAAATGAAATAACAACAAATGTTAATTTTTCTCCATTTAATTGGCCACACAATGATGAAGAACGTGATTCACCTCAAGCATGCAAAGATTTAGAATTGGAATTAGCAAAATTTGGAGTTATTTTTGGACGCAATGGATATAAACTAGTTGATGTACACTTTAAACAACGAATACCTAAAGGTGGTGCCGATGCTCTTATAATTCCCTACAAAACAGCTGCACATGGTTGTGCATTACAATTACGTGTGGTGTTCGAATTTAAATTGCCAGAAAATATGGTTTTTGAGAAATATCGTGGTGACTACATCTTAATGTTTAGGAACAAGTGAGAACAAGGACAAAGCCATGTTATGATGCGTATTTACACTTTCTATATCCATTAGCGGTAGTTTCGCAGAAAAAATATAGCTCTTTTTTACTCAAAAAGCAGGTTTAAAGTTGGTTAGTGATGTCTACTTCGATTGTTAAAGTTGTTTGATATATAACCATGTTACGTCGTCCAACACATTCCTGAAGTATAAGCGGCACTTTAGATTTCCTACTGAGAAAAATATTGTAGGTAAAAAAAAAGTGAGTTCGATAGATGTGTGAACTTTTTTTGTACAAGGAATCGCATGCGCGATACTTAGTTTATTTGGTGAGATTGTCCGTATGACTTGCGGTAGTGCTAGATCAAACAATGAATAAAACAAAGGTTCTGGAATCGAACAGGTTTAATTTCGTGACTATATACATTTTTCATAACTTGTGTTTTTAATGAAAGCTTTTTCTTTTTGTTTCTGTACAGGTGAATTTTACGGTGAATTATTATGTTCCCTTGCAACGTCTCATCAACCATGTCTTATGGTTCTAACTGATTTACGTACACAATGCTTTATCGGTCGATGTATTAATGGAGATATTCATATATGGGCATGTGATAATATGAATGAAGGAATGAACTTAATTTCTAATTTTGTCGTTAGACATTGCAATCCAAGTGAAAGATATAAATGTGATTTTAACGCTGATTATGTTAATATCGATCCAGATCTAGTTGGATTAAAAATAATAAAAAAATATACATCGGACGATGGCCATCCACTATTAGAACAATTAGAATTGATAAATGATATAGAAAATCCGGGTGAACGCTTTGGCGAAGCACTTTCAATAATTCAGAGTTGGAATATGGTTAATAAAGAAAATACAACAAACACTTGATTTTTATCATTAAAAACTATGAGTAACTATATGTAATATGTTCAACTTCTAATTAACATGTAAAATAGCTTAAAAAAATGAGTGAGACAGAACGGTTCACGTGATTTGAGAAAATAAAATGTATAATTTATGTTATTTCAAGAATAGCTCATTCTCCATCTCAACTTTGTATAACTTCTCGATTACTGACTCGATTATCTACAAAAAGATTTAACAGAGTCACACGAAGGCTTTGACTGCCTATGCTTCCCGCGTATTGCTCGATAGCAAGAATTTTTGAGTACTTTGTGTGGTGTATTAGTATTAGATAAGAGAAATTTTAAACTAGTATCGGTAATATGCAAATTAGAAGTTAAGTAGCTGTATCAATTACTTGAGAAAAGCTGAAAGATGAGCTGTTAGAATACTGAGATCTTTACTTAGTGTATTTCACAAGATTCGTTGAGAGATTTGTAAACATAGATGTTGAAATATTCTCATGTGTTGTGGTGCTGCGTTTCTTTTGAAATACATGTTTCCAAATTCAGTAGAAGTAAAAAGACATCCATGAGTCCAAGCTAAGAATCGTTTTTTCTTACAATTTGGTAAACACAAGGGTTAAAGAAAACACAGGTTATCGACTATTCTGAATTTTGTAGTAATCTTTGTTTCTGAATAAAAGTGGACGAACGCTGTCTTGAAGAACACAAGTGGTGTTTCTATTATTTAAGTGACAGCTTCTTAATTTATTATACTTTCTCTTTCTTTTTGTTATATTTTCAGTTATTGCAAGTTCCACAAGTGTGCTAACTTTTTTTTCTGTTGCGTTGTCTTTTTCCGGTAATGGATTGTGCACTTGTGCCTTCGTTTCATTTGTTTATATTTGTTTTCAAAATGAGAGTAGTACAGCAAAGTAGAAATTTTTAATATTCCTTGAGAGAATAGAAAGCATTATCATTTATATTATTCCTTATATTATCATATTATTATTGCTTCTTCTGAGATTTTATCATTCACTTCCGTTTAGTTATTAAAAGTCGTAGCACATCAACGACCAAGAAGCATAGGATATGTTATTACGTTTAATAAATCTGTTATTGAAAGAGAAAGTAGACTTGACGCTAAATAATAATATTTGTTTTTGTGTTCAAATTAATGTGTATACAGTTGTCTTTTTTCAATTATTTATTTATTTATGTATACCAAAAGATGGAGTATTGAATTCTCTACAAAACCTACTCTTTGAATCTCTGAGAGCATTTTGCTTGTTTGAGCACCACTCAAAATATTGAAGGGTGCTGAGTTGTCGACCTACGACGTGCTTTTGTCATCTCTTTTTTTTAGATTTTTAGCCCATTGTCTAGGTTCAATAGTTAATTTTTCTAGGTAGAAAGATAGAGAATTTTTCGCTCTATCGATCTCACTCATTTACAATTTCATGCAATGTTTCCACTACGTCAGCTGGTCTCATAATTAGTTCTCAACCGGCTTTTCAATGTTTTCAAATTAAATTAATTTTTTTAATTAATGGTTTCAATTGAGAAACTTTGTTTATATATCAAAAGACACAGAATTTAATTCTATATAAGATAATAAGACCAAAAAACCCTGGATTCAGAACGTTTTACTACTTTCATAGCCAAAAAGTAAAGTCTGTGAAAAATACGTTCAAAAGTTAGATTTTCTTATATTTATCAGCTTTCTTGTATCACTGCATCCTTTTATCGAATCATCGGTAATCGAAGAAGTTCTAATCTTCTGACCGGTCTGATCGGTTCGAATTTTTGAATGTGTATTTTAATGTGTATTTTAGTTTCGCTCTCTATTACATTTGTACCAAGTCTGAATAGTGTGCTTCTCTGCGTGCAAGTTTCTCTTTCTCAAATTCTTTACTTGTTTTCCTTTCTCTCGAACAAATAATGGTATGTTAATTGTGTGCCATCACGTACGTTACTTCGTCAAATTATACCGTAGTATATTTTTGTGCGTCGTTCTCCTTCTTACATTTTATCTCTATCAGTGTGCAAGTCAAGTGGTAACGTATAGACACAAGAAAACAGTGCGTCTTTGTTAAATCTATCACATCGAATCAGAGTTGATTATCGCAGACGGCTCTCAACTAGCTCCAAGATGCCTAAGAGAAAATGTATATTATGTCAAAAATCAAAGAATTTATCACAATGTCGATCGTTGTCTTCATCTTCCTACGGATGGTTCCATGAGTACCTCACAGTAAAGGTCACTTCTTTCGACGACACTGATTTATTTCTGTGCGAGACTTCTATAAACTGAAGGCGTCACATCTCGAATCTGGTATTCCTGTGACAATGGAGAGTTCCAATATCGAGTCGATGGACACAACAACGATCGAAGACTATAGTGATTTAACATTAGATAATGTGATTTATGTTGAATCCAATCAGAGCCGTTGCATTGTCTGCCGACAAGAGCGAGATCACTTGTCGGACATGATTACAAATCATTTTGCATTCAATGTACCAACATTTAGAGACTTTTCTATTAGTCTACATGGTTCTTGTTAAACGGATAGTATTCAAAGTTTGACAATAAGTCAGGAATCAGAAATATTTGGAATATGATCTCACTAAAAACTCACTAATAAAAAGCCTAAAAGGAGTTCTGCCCATATTGCTTCTTTCAAAAGTAATGGAATTTTTTTGTTTGCCTGCACCCTACGTTATACAAAACTAAAACATTCATAACGTTGCAACAACAGCAAATTAAGGTCTGAAATTTCTTTTTTGCTACAGTGGTACTAATCGTCTGTCAATAACCCAGAAAGTTTCACGCTTTTAACTCTTTCCTTTCGCGAGTTATCGAATTTTTACTGAGTTGAGAGCACTTACTGCTATGAAAATGTCATTTTCACCTTTTAATACTTGCTTGCGTGCAAAACACTTTTAACTTAGGTTATTCTTACGTTTTTAGAAAAAACAATGTTATTCAAAATACAATTTTCAATTATCATACTTATTGTATAAACAGACCAGACAAGCTAGGTTGTTGATCGTTGTCACCATCGAATGCACTGAGATTTTAAATTGTTTCAGAAAGCACGATTTCTGAATGGAATTATAATGGATTGAATACGTGTTCACGTGCTCGGTTCGATAACAAAGGGAAAACTTGGGACAGTTTCCAAAAACGTCATTCCAGATTAACTTGGGTATGTAATTCAGGGGTGTAACCGGTATCAAAATTGCGATACCGGTACCGGCCACCGGTATACAAACTTCATACCGGTACCGGTCGGTACCGGCTTTTCTTGATTATGTTTTCCTTAAATATTAAGACTTTTCTGTTTTTCTGTACTGTGAATTTTATTTACCGTTATTCAGTATGTGAGTCAGTTGAATTAAAGTCTAAATCAGTGTTCTGTATTGTATAAATCTTTTAAATATTTTGTATAAATAAAAGAAGTTTGCTTTTTATGTGAATTTAAATACAAAAGCTAGATAGAAAAGATTAAATCTGTAATTACAATGCCTACTTCGGCCATGTATTATTAATAAGTGGCTCACATAAAACGGCAAATGATTCAACAGCTTCTGATTGCAAACTACTTCTTGTTTCGCAAACAATTTGACCACTTGATGAGAAATGCCTTTCTGATTCAACGCTTGACGCTTGAATAATAAATACATTTTTTGAAGTGTATGCTAAACTTGACATTGTACGTCGATATCTATACCAAAACATTAATGGATTATTTCTAAATTCTAGAGCACCAGGCATTGTTGCATGTGTTTCAATTTCTTGTTTTAATGTTGATTCTAATGTTGGTGTTGGTGCAGTTTCTTCTTGTCTGAACATTTTAAATGGATCATGTTTACGTTTCTTTGGAGATGGTTCTAATAATGTCTACAAAAACAACACGTTTATGTAAAGAAATGATTAAAAATTGATAGAGGCATTTTCACTAGCTTATCATTACTTACACTATCATCTGGTTCTTTCGTCATCCAAACCTTCTGATCCACATTCTATGCAAGTAACTGAATACCATCTTTAATTTCTTGTTGTATTACTTTTAAATTTTGTTTATCATTTATAAATGATAATGACGTGGCAAATGTTCTTGAATACCACCTGATTGTGCTACATATTTTCGTATTTCTTTGACAGCAGTACAAAATGCATCAAATATTGGCTACTCATTAATTGTATTATTCCAAGCACATTCTAATACAGTATTAGTTCGATGAGCCATACAAGGAAATCTGGGTTCATCTTTAAGAGCTAATATCATGTTGAAGCCTAAAATGGTTAATCAAACATAAAGTAAAGCTACGTTGTATTATATAACACTCCGCCTTTATGATACACCATTAAAAACCGATTTTTTATTCCTACCTTGATCAGTTGTTATAGGCGTATCGCCTACTTCTAATTGAAATTCCATATATATAGATTCTATTTATTGCCAAATATTAGTACCACTTTTTATCTCTTCGGTAGTCATTTGTCATCATCCATTAGAAAATTTGGAGCTTGCTCCGCGCTGAACCAAATTGGATAAAAAATCCGCGCCAGGTGCAAAATTTGTCGGTGAATCCAACAGCGGGTTCCTTATAATTACATCGTTACTTCTTTTTTGGCGTCGACATAATCAATGTGGTTTTTGCCTAAATTTTATTTTTGTCATTGGCGCCTTTTTCTCCACCAATGAGAAAAATAAAATTTAGGCAAAAATCACGTTGACTATGTCGACGCCAAAAAAGAAGTGAAGGTGTAATTATAAGGAACCCGCTGTCGGATTCACCGGATTTTTATGCAATTTGGTTCAGCGCGGAGCAAGCAACAAATTTTCTAATGCAGAGGACGTAGAATGGCGGGATTATCCTATCTTCATAAATCCAGTTTCATAAATCAAAATTTTATGTAACTTGTGGGTTAAAAAAATCAACATCCAAGTTTACTAAATTTTATGAAACTTATTTCCAAGTTTCATAAATGTGTGACTTATGCTGTTGCAGGTTTAATTAATTAGTTTCTTAATTAATTGTAGTATTAATATATTACCTAGAGACATATAACATTATATAATTGGTATATGTCACATAGAGACGTGTGTTTGTGATGTTTTAATTGAAAATAATGATTTATTTAATTAAAAATAGTATCAATGTGTCTCTAGGTGCTATATGAGGCTCGCAGTAGACGCTCGTAGACACAGTGACTCAACCTAATAGAGGTGCTAATATCTCACCAAGGTAGGTATGAGTTACTTTGAGACATAGACTGATTCAAATAAAAATGTGGAATTTTATCCTAAAACTGTATATACAAGTCTCTAAGTGAGGTGTGAGTCTCTCAGAGACATATGCTTACTTGTACAAGAAGAGGTATTTTCCAACAGGGCTATGTATAAGTCCCCAAGGGCGTCTCTTAGAGACATGTCCAGATTCTTTTAAATGAATAAAAAGTTGTGTCTTTAGTGTGAAAGTGCAGAAGGTATATTCAAGCATGTATTAGAAAAATATGTTTTGTAAATGTAAAAACTATATTTTGTTGAATAGTAATAAACGTTAGTATAGTTAGTTAGTTTAAAGTGTGACTGTCACTGTGTGCATACTCTCTTAAATTTGGGAGTTTGTCTATTAAGAAGCATAGTGAGTTTGTAACAGATATATCCGTATATCTGAACCGGAAAGATATGTGTGACTTGATGAGTTATGAATCGCTCAGTGACATACATATTCTAACTAAATCAATTGAATAAAAACTCTATGTTTTATTTTAAAAGGACTAAAAATCACCCTCTCAGAGACCTATACGTTACTCAGAGACATATTCTGTTGATATTAAGAGGCTCAGTGACAGATAATGACTTCTATTTTCATTTTAGAATTCTTTGAATAACTTACTGAGAAACATATAGAATAATTTGCAGTTCTATTTTGGCACTAGCTGATTATGAATCATCGACAGAGAGAGATACAGTGTGTCGTGTAGTCTTTATTCTTTTTTTCTGACTACTGTTCAACATATGCCACTATGAGACTTATACTAATATACTACTGTAACAACCCTCTTAGAGACATCTGCAGTTACCTTAATTCATCAATTAAACCCATTTAATTAACAGCCACGGATCTCTCGGAGACATGTGCTAATTAATTAAGAAAATTTTTCTCTGAGAGCCATGCTAAACTTTTTATGAAACTTGTGAAAAGTTTCATAAAATTTTTCATTATTATGTAACTTGTGGGTTAAAAAAATCAACGTCCAAGTTTCAGAAATGTGTGATTTATGAAACTGGATTTATGAAGACAGGATATCCCGAATGGCGAATGTTCAAAAATGTAGTTAAGAAAAGTATAAAAGAACAATCAATTTCAATCGACATGATATGTGATGGAGAACTTGCTCATGCTAATTTTTCTCAGTCTGGTCTTGCAATTAGTTTATCATCGCAAGAAGCTAGTATGTTATATCTTTCTTTCATATTCCAGCATTAGAAAATTTCCGGCAGTCTCATTCAATATCTAACATTTTCGATATTTTGGTTTTCGACATTTTTTTTTCGACATTCCTACATTTCGACATTTTGCACATTCGATATTTTCTTTTCGTTATTTTTGATTTTCGATGTTTTATCCCTTCGACATGACTCTTCGATGTTTTGCCACTTTACCGTTTTAACGACTATTCAGGACAGACAAGTATATATTTGACTTTTACCAATAAACGAAATAAAAATTCTGTTTATTTCAGTATGAGAATGAAGAACAAATATAGATGAATGCAGAAATTTGTTTGCTTATTTAATTGAAATACGTTTAGAAATCGCTTCATTAACTAGTTGAATAGTTAATTCATTATCATCATCTGAAGGAAGTATATCTATGGAACTTACGCATAGTTTGTGATTTGATTTTTATTAAATCTGATTTCTTTTTTTATAGTTAGTGAAAAAGATAAAGATGAAAATTCTAATGATCAAGTAATATCTCAAATGTTATTAGTATGTTGTTGGAGAACAATTAAACAAATTTCATCATTATTAAGTCGTTTGGAAACAAATTGGAACAAAATATGTTCTGAATGATGATGAATATCGATTTTTTAATTTAAAATAAAGATATTATTTAATTAGTAATGGATAGTATACTGAGTTTTTTAGATTTATATTCATGGGCAGCGCAACGTCAATTTTTTAGGGAAGATAATAAATTTTTAAATGAGCTCATTTTAACCTCCCTTCCTCCCATAGTGGACAATCCGACAGCAAAAGCTTGTTTCATTTGAATTTAATTTTTTCAAAGGCAAGATGTCTGGAAAGTTTGAGAACCAACTCATTTGACTGTACACATTAAACGCCGGAAAATAGTGCATGCGCTTTTATTAAAAAAAAGATTTTGAAAATAAAGTTAGCTGATAACCAAGAACTTAGAAAATATAGAGAAATCAGATTCACGCATGAATTCGTGACGTTTAGAAACTATCTCAATACATTTTTGCAAACTTTCTCCTGAAAATCAGTGTCTTATGTAGTATCGGAGTCAGAAACTTTGTTCAATAACAAAACTGATTGGTATCTTCTTGATTTGCATCGTTCGCTAACTTCTTTTACTTTTACTCTTCAAACGCTATTGACTGTTCATAAATGTGTAGTATTAAAATGAAAAATATATTCTTGTTCGAGAACTATATACTATACTGGACAATATTTTTCGCACGATTTTGTTTTGCATATAACTTCTTGTAAAGTTGACTTTAGAGGCACGGCTTGCGTCAAAAGTATAGTCAGTGTCTATACTATATTCACAGAAAATTTCTCCCCTAAATATTGAGTTATAGTGGAACTGGAGATATAACAATGTGAAGTAGTAACATCTTGTTGGACGGTTTTTTTCGGACGACCTTTTAAATTGAGTTATTTTTTTCCAGAATTGTTAAAAAAGAACTGAAACTATATAAATAGAAAGAGCAAAATACGAGCTACATTTTGATGACTAAAACTTTCTCAAAGCAAAATGTCTATGAATTGAAATGCTTATTTTACAGCAGACAACTCGGCCAGTCCAAGCGTGACGGAATAACGTTTTTTCATTTTGTTTTCTTAAGATCTCGGCTATATTAAGTCCGGTGAGGCTGAAAATTTTACAAAATGTGTGAGACTAGGTGCTCTACAAATCTTAAAAGTTTCAACAACTTTCATTATTTGGTCTGGAGGCAACAGACAAAAATGACGTGACGGAATAACGCAAAATGGACTTTGACTTTCACAGCAGGGTAAAGAAAGCAAAAAATCAGCGGAACCGAAAGAGCTATGAAAAAAGTTTCTGTAGCAAAGTTGTAGCTTAGACAATGGGCTATACGTGAAAAAAAGGAAAATTTCAAAATTTCAAAACTTCGCCTTTGCAGATCGAAAAAACCGTCGTGACGGAATAACGTTTTAAGAAATGATGAAGTTTTTCTCAGCTTTTCTTTGCTTCGCAAATTGAAAGTAGTGCGTCAAATCACATAAACTGTTCTTTTTAATGACAAAAACAATGAAAAAAGTCATCTAGGCTTTTTAAGAACATAACGAACAATTTCCAAAACAATTTGCAAGTCCATCGGCTTTCAAGGCTACGAAGAGTCATCAGGTGCCAGTCCTGGGACTCGTAGGAAATCCGGTACAACGTCAGAGCCGTTGAAACTCTAAGTCTCGCTTGACTCCCATTTTTTAGAGGACACTTGTAGCTACATACGCATGTAAAAAAACGACGACATTTCTATGAGACTTTCGGGAGTTCTGATCTGGTTTTCCAAAGATCTCCTCAAAAACCAACTTGAAATTTTTTTCCGAAACTCGCTTTCGCTTATAGAAACATGGACTCAGGTCTCTAGTTTCTAAAACTGAAAACCGCACCTCTGTATCTATTACCTATCAAAAGTCATTCAAAAAGCAGTCGATGCTCTTGTATTTTGGAACGGATAGTAGTCAAATGTAAAAAATAAAATTTCTTACCTGTAATGTTATATACAAGTAACTATTGACCAGTGCATGTTCATTTGAGAGATTAATATCAATGTAAATATGTAAGAACTTATCATATAGTTTACATAAAAAATCATATCGATTCATGGTGCTTGTACAATGCTTTGAAAATGAATTTAAATTTCCTAAAAATGTTTCATATTCATCTGGTTCAACAAATATAAAAATATGATGTTTGATCTAATGTTTTATCATACTAAATTCAAATAATTGAGAATAAAATTATATTAAAAAAATCTTTTGCTTTTGATTGAATATATGTTCCATCAACGAATTATAGATTGAATCGAAAAAAAAATAAAATGTGAAATATCTTTTAATTTTTCAATAAAACTTAACGATTCGATAATAGTATTTATTTTCAAACATCATTAAAGAATAAATTGGTATGATAATAAAAAGACTCACTCGAAACTGGTATTGATCAATTTCGAACTATAATGAAAAAAGAAAAAAATTTGAATCAGGAATGAATTAGACAAGAATAGAATTCCTATAATCAATAACAGCAAAGATTAATCCCGTGATACCAATTGCTAATACTGTACGAACAAAGATAGATTCAATCACTTTGATATAATGACTATGTTCATTAAAGCATGAAAATAATCTTAATTAATTAAAAATAATATGAAATGAGATAAAATTTGTCATACCGACAATTTGATAGAAATATTTATTGATCTTTTTCTTGAATTGAAGATGTATTATTAAGAGAAGAAATGGGTTGAAAATAATATTTAACTATTCGAACACTTGAAACACGAACATAAGATTGTAATAATTATTGTTCATTAATTTATTTATTTAATGGAATTAAACTTTCATTTGGAAGAATTTTAGTCGAGATTTTTCTTCTAGAAGATTTCCTTGAAATTGAACTATTTGAATAGGTTCAAACTTGACTATCACTTGTCTTATTGGGTTGATGCAAAAGTATCCGCCGATTTTTGTTCTTTTTAATGTTTCATAATTTTATTGAAACAAAACAACATCAATCAATAACATATATACCATTGTTATCTACGACATACTCCCATCTCTTAGGCAAATTCAGAATACCATCTTCAAAGAATTTCTTGGACAACGACGGCAAGAAACGTTCTAGGTCCGACTTTAAGTGCGCTTCATCGTCGAAGTGTTTCTGGAGCAGATGATTGCGAAGCGAGCGGAATAAGTGATAATCGGAGGGTGCTAAGTCTGGCGAATACGATGGATGGGGTAGAAGTTCCCAGCCCAGTTCTTCCAGCTTTTGACGGATGACTTTTGATACATGAGGTCTAGCGTTGTCGTGAAGCAGCTGAACTTTTCATCGTTCTGGACGCTTGGCTTGAAGTACCCCCTTCAAATTTTCGAGCTGTGTTCAGTAAATCTTGGAGTCTTTTTTTTTCTTCTAGGAAGAAGTTCATAGTAGATAACATCTTGAAAATTCCACCAAATTGATAGCATCACCATTTTTGGGTGCCAGTCGTTTTTCGGCTCGGGCTCCGGCATATCTTCAGGGCTGAGCCACTGGCGTTTGCGTGTATGATTAACGTAGAGTACCCACTTTTCATCACCAGTGACGATTTGCAGAAGAAACCTGTATCGGTCGCGTTTGCACAACAAAAAGTTGCAGATGGTGATTCTCTGTTGCATGTTGTCTGGTGAGAGTTGATGTAGAACCCATGTACCAAGCTTATTGACTTTTCCCGTTTGATGCAGATGACGATCGATCGTGGATTGGTTGCAGCCTACCATTGCTGACAAGTCACGTGTGGTTAGCCGTGGATTGTCTTCTATCAATGCTTTTAATCGTTCTACATCGGATTCGAGAGGACGTCTCGACCTCGGTTGATCTTTCAATGACAAATCGCCTGTCCGGAATCTTTTGAACCAATCACGACATGTACACGATCACCAACTACACCTTTGTCGAGAGCAGCACATATATTGCGAGCAGCAGCACTTGCATTGTTTCCGAGCTGGAACTCATACAAAATACAATGTCGAATATGCATAGAAATCTGGGACATTTTTTAATCTAAAATGTTTATACTTGAGAATATCTATTAATGTCATTTCATGGTACTAGCCAAGTACTATCATACATGCAAAAAAAACAAATGTATTGTACTGTTAGATGATTGTAAAAGTTTTCAAAAAAATCGGCGGATACTTTTGCATCAACCGAATATCTCTTTTAAATGTTCAAATGATGAAATAGATTCATTTGTAAATTTAGAGTGTGAGCGCGTCTCTATCTTTGGTAAAAAAATGAGCCCGTTTGGTCGAGCCGTAATGAAGATATTAAAGTTTTTCCTCGGTAAAGTTTATACCTCTGTATATATTTATATTCTCAAGAGTTACTTTTGATGTACATAAGCACAATCTACAAATCAACGTACATCCGAAATTTCTGTCTCGTTTCATTTAAAAATTATAGACATAACATCAAAGTCTATGAGGGTTTTACATGAACCTTAAGAAATATTTCTAACTTTCAAAACTCTCGTATATTCAGATATATTCATGTATTAGTATAGAATCATTGTAAAGCGATTGCCACTGCTCATTATACTCTATTGTTTCTATCCTCTTTCAACGCCAACATTTTATATAAATAGGGAGGAGGAAAATATCTTGTCTAGCTACAGGAGAAATAGGAATCAAGTCGATTTCGTTGCCTAACGCTACTATCCAGCAGTATCACTGTTGAGAAATATAAGAGAATATCTCTTTATTTTCTTTTACTGACTGACTGATATATGGTGTAAACAAATGCACTTTAATCAAAGGAGAGGTTAGAAGAATGCCTTTTCATTCTGCTAAAAATTTTATTATGTAACTGAAAAGGAGAAAAAACTATTCTGACGTCTTCTCTGTTTCTGAATCACATTGATTTGAACTTTTCATCTTGATTTGCCTAACTTTTCGAGTAAATTATAGTTAAGAGTACAAGTGAAGAGCATACGTCTCCATTTAATTTTACACTACATCATCGGTCTAGTTAAGGCCCACCCCCCCCTCTAAATTTTTTTTTTCCCAGAACACTCAATCTTACTGAAATTTTTATTGAATATGTATCTGACCATTGATAGTTCTCAGTATAAATTTGAGCTCATAATATTGAGTTTTTCGCGAGTTATTGTAACATCAAGGGTCAAAAAGTAGGTGTCCATGTGTCAAAGATTTTGTTTCCAATTTTAATGATACGGACCTCGGGATAGTGTCAAAATGTAGAGAATACCTACCCCTACAACCTAACAAAGCCGGATTTTTGAAAAAAAAAATAATAATTTTTTTAGACAGTTTTTTCGAAAAACCTAGATTAGTTTTTTGTAAACAAATAAGTTGAAAACAAAAATATTCGAAATCTTTGACACACAGTCAAATAAAACGAAAAAAAACAGTTTCGAGAAAAACGCAAAACAATTTTTTTCTTTGATTATTTTTTGATGCAGGGGTCTTCAGAAAAACCGTTGTAAAACCATCGAAAAACCAATAAATTATAGTGCATTCGAAAGTAGAGATGATGGGCTATCTAACGGTGTATAAATCTAAAAATCGATATTTTTGTCGAAAATTCCTTTTTTTTGAGAGGGGGGTGGGCCTTAAGCTGAGCAGAATATAAGTTCTTCAAGATCGTATTGTTCTACTGACGACAAGCCCACTCTCTAATAAGTTTTTAATTACAGACATTTGTAATTTAACATTATTTTAATTCTTTTTCACTCTATTGTAACAACAAAAGGTCTTGACAAACAAAAAGAAAACTAATTAGCTGGTACATTAAATCTATCAATTGGAACTCTATGATGCTTTACAGGAGCATGATAATATTAATATAGTGTTTAAAACTACTTTCATACTTCGTTGTCAACAATATCATTTATATATATTTGTACCTACTTATTTGTTTCTTTTTCTCGTTTCTGTTTTTACTTTGCATGTTCTATGCTTTTTTTCTCTGTTAGATGAACTACTTGTTAGATGAAGGTCATTTTTATTTATTATTTTCAAATAACAATGTTAACATTGGGCATTTAATACCTTTTTTTCGAGGATATTCGTTCATATATGTACAAATAAACATACATCTTAATTGCATTAAGATGGATTCTTTGTTCGTTGTAAATAATTCGCATGCAAAACAAACACTCACTTCGTATAGGTGGCAACATTTATTCACCATCTTTGATTGTTGTATCGCTTCTGCAACACATTATTGAATCACATTCTCTCTTAAAGAAAATAAGTACTATTCGCTAACTTTCTACACACGCAATTGTTAGACATTATATCTGGAAAAATAAGTAAACGAAGCACACATTTCCTTTCAGGACAGATTTTTTGCAATGATTCTTCTAATGAGCATTGTGTTTCCATGACTTTGGAAATTGTCAGAGCGGATTCTGATTCAAAATTTAAAACAGCTGGAAAAAATCTTTCAAAATTTTAGTTTTTTTTATAACGGAACTGATTAAATTGCATATTAACTAAACAGACTTCTACAAACAGAAATTCATCTATGTTTGTCTGTAATACGGTACAAATGACCACCCGACGATTATGATTCAAATGAACATACGATAGTTATATCTAAAATAACAAAGCAATAAATATGATTAAAAAAACCTTGTAGAATGGTTTAAATAGAATGCTTAATTAGTAATAGGCTCCCAGCTAACCGAATGGTATGGCCTAAAAGAAATTTAGATTATTCGATACTCTTGGATTGAGTGCATAATCCTATCTAAATGAGTATGTGGTAGTCCATCATTTGAAAGGATAGATTCTTAACATAGAAATTCATGTGTGTCTATCTGTCTGTTTGTTTGTTTATCTTTGACATGGTTCAGATGGTCGTAAAGTTGTGTAAAAGCTACACTTAGTCGTTTGAGTTTAAAATGACTATGATGAGTAGCTTAAATGACTAGCATTGATTAAGGCCTTCCCCCTCTAGAATCGATTTTCGTTACAGTACATAGGACCTCTTTGCAACTTTCTACAAACATTAGGTCCATAAAATTAAACTTACAAAATTTTTTTCACCTCGCTAGACTTTAGCATTCCGGAGTTTTGTACAGATCAAGGCCCAAAATGGATTTCTGGCCCATACAAATTATTTTTCACTATATTTCGGGGTAGAGGACTAGGGTTTGTTTTATTTGAAAGAGAACTGTTTATCCTTTCGCATGTAAAGAAAGGAGTTTTTTTATTGTTGCTCTTTTTAATTTTTGGGAGACATCAAAACCTCTCAAATTTGGGGAAATCATCATAGGTCTTCCAGATATATGAGGTTTCTTACAGGATTAAAGCCTAATTTAAAAATCCCTTTCTCTCATTCGAAGGAAAATCGAATGCCCTAATTAATAAAAAATTACAATTCACTAGAACGAGTTATAATGAAAAAAATTTGCGCCGAGATTCAATGTTAATGCAAAAATAGGTTTTGAGAAAAACGCGAAAACGTTTTTGTGCACTTTATCAACCTATCCTTAAACATGAACATCAAATATGGTGATACCATATATCAATCATTAGAACTAATCAAGATGCATAGTTCTATGTTTCTAGTGCCAGATGCAGCTAATATAAGTAGTGGCGGCGCCACAGGGGGGCTGGCGGGGGCTGAGCCCCCTCAGAAATTATGTGAGCCCCCTCAGATTTAAACAACATGTCATTTTTTAGTTACATCAAACATTCAGTAGTAATTTAGTACAAATACAATAGTCGAAAAAACTTCCGAGATGGGAGGGAGATCATATAGAATGGCAGGGGCTGCGCCCCCTCAGATGAAAACTTCTGGCGCCGCCTCTAAATATAAGGTAGCGATACTCCATGGTTTCCTTTGGTTTTTACCTAATTTCGCTTTAGAATATTATTATAGAGACTTTCAAAAACTTTTGATAGTTTTCTTCGAAATCTTTCAAAGCTGACATTTTTTTACGAGCATTTAAAGCAGAAATCTTAGGCGATATTCCTGCATACTTTCTTCAAAAAAACACTTTTGACGAAAATCGACTTTTTGAAAGGGGGCTTGCTTGAGATGAAATGATTTCTTTTGGCTCTCCTTTTGCAAAACGTGAACGCAGAATAGACAATTTTGCACAAAAGAGATATATCCGCTCCTGGAGATTTCTGGTTCTTAATTTATGCATCCATTATAACCGCTAATTTCACTTTTTTTCTGCAACCGATTGTATGTAAAGCATGCATATTAAAAAATTTTCTAACAACTAAGTTTTTTTAGAGCATTTTTTTTTTCAAGATGATAGCGCGGAAGCCTCAGGAGGGAAAAGATGGAATGGGCCATTCCAGCCCATTTCAAACCATTTTTGATAATTTTTTCCATTCTCCATTTTTGACAGACTTCTATACTATCGAGTGTGTATTTTGAGAAACAATGTATTTGTGCACTTAATTTATCTGTGCAAGAGTAGCTGCTTCAACGAGCGTCTTTCCAATACAAGAAAAATTGGGATACAGTCTACTGAAATGAAGATTTCAGGCTGAATCTCAGAGCCTGGAGGTTTCGTTCATTACAAATGAGGATTTAGTTAATGTACTAATTTTATTTCGAGCACAATAACAGCTTAATGTCACAAAAACCGTTACAAAATAACACAATCAAACTCTATTTACATTAAAAAAGAACACCACGTGTAAAAGTTGAGAGAAAGAGAGCGAAAGAGAGACTAAAATATCACATTTATCCATGAGAAAATATATAGAAATAAACTGAATAAAAACCAAAAAATAAATATAAAGAGAAATCTGAACATATGTGATTGATATTTTTTAACCTCGAATTTATATATTAATTTAAGAATAAAATTATATTTTATTTTAATTACCTAATAATAAGTCGTCGACAAACAGCTGATATCGATACATTTTCACAGTGTTATTTTTTTCAATGTTGTTTCAATCGAACTTCAATCGAACCAAATACAATTGTTACATTATGACATTTTCGAATTTCACCACATCTAATGAACATTAATTTTTCATCTATTTAATCTACTCAAGATTTATTACCGAAGTGGTGTATGAATATAAATATAGGAATAACTACAACAGTGAATACGAAATTCAGCCATAAATACATTCGGCAAATGCTAAAAACAAAACAACGTGAGTCTTAAAATGAATAGTTCAAATATTTGTTTTCGTACTTGCTCATTCAACGACCGATTAATCATTGTCATAAGAACAAAACGATGTCTAGAGAAATACAGAGGAAAATCATTAAAACAATTCAGATGTATTATTGTATCAAACTTACTGTTCATCAGCAAGCATTTGAATTACAAAATACTCTTCCCAGTTGTTGCTCATGAGTTGGACCTTAACAAAATACGATATTCTTAAATAAAGTAGTCAAATTTTAATTATTACTTACTGTCGAATGGCAACCGTAATAATGTGCCTAATTTCATTGTTTGTCCAGCTTGAAATAGATTTGAAATGAGTGAACGACGTATTAGATTCCATAATCCTTTGAATGATACAACAGAATTGCTCTAGAAAGAGAAATATTCTCATTCATTCTCATCATAATAAATTTTGTCATATACTGCAATTATATATTATTTTTAGCTAATATTGATCATTTTGACGCCATTATTTTTGTTTTATTTGCCTACAAAAATAGTTCTCAAATAGAATATGAAACTAAGAAAAACAGCTAACAACCACATTTTGATATAGAAGTAAATAAATAATATAAAAGCTTAGGGGCCTGTTTCACAAAAAAACTTAAGTCTGACTTAAGTCAAAAAAAAAACAAAGAACTTTTTTGACTTAAGTTGAAGATAAGTACGATTTTTTACTTAACTTTTTTTGTGAAACAGGTCCTAGAAACGAAACTTAACAACTTAGTCTTAGAAACGGAAAAAAACCGGAGCAGATTGAAGAAATAATAAAATAAGAATCATCTGTGAGTTAAAGATTAAAAATAGATGATAAACAACACTGTACATTTGATTTTAGTTTTTAAATTTTTGCTTTTGGGTGTTTGTTTTTGTGTCTATCACCAACAATATGTTAGCACATTACTTTGATTCCCACGTAAGAATACTAGCGGTGGTAAATCGTGTCTGATACTTTTTAAACATGACATATACAGACCACATGAAATTGAATTTTTTCGTGGAATCGCCAAAATTCTAAAGAAGAAAACAAAAAGTTGAAAGCCTATACAAATACACATACGTACTTACACAATAATCAACGTTGACGTTGAACTATATTCGAGTAACATTTCATGTAGACGTAATCCACGTTTTATTTCATTTCCTTCGAGTTCCGATGCGCTTATTTTCCACGATGATGTTTCTTTTGACTCATTTTATTGTGAAATAAATAAATTACCTCCATCGTCAAACAACCACCAAACATCGATAACAGCTGATGATATTTGACTTTGACGAAATGAGTTACCGGAAACTGGTCAACTGAGACTTTCGTCACCTATACTTTCGTTGTTGACCAAAGTTTTGTCTGACTCTCGCCAATAACCAGTTCTCTATATAAAGTAGATATTGTGTCATTGCCCGCTGTATCTTTTCGTCTCATAGATATCTATATATATCTAAGCGTGCTTTTCACAGTTTCCTGCAAATCAAATGTCTTCATGCATTATTAAAATCGAAAAAAAAAACATTAGCAGCAACTCACATAAAGCTTTGGTCAATTGACGAGAGTCAGACAAAACTTTAGTCAGTGACGAAGGTATAGGTGACGAAAGTCTCAGTTGACCAGTTTCCGATTCTCCGACCAAATATGTTCATACTCTGTAAAGCACCTTATTATTTTAGGAAAGAAAAAAAAGTTTAATTAGATGAAATGGCAATTACAAATTACGTTCATTAATAATTGTATTTTTACACATCAGCGGTTTACAGTTACATTATAACGGATATGGATTTTACCGGTATTGAAGCCGTTGAAAAAGATTTACAATTTATATTTAAAGCTCGACATGACGTACAAAAACGAGCCCAACAAGTTTTAGAAAATGGATTGAACCATTTGGTAGATAATTTAGCCATGCAAAACTATTTTCTTTTTTCTTTTAATATTTTTCATTTTTTCTTTTTCATATTTTTTAGAATCCAGCTCAAATTGGTACGGCATTACAAGTATTTTTTAATTAAAGCAATTTATATGATCATGTGCATAAAATAGAAGAACGTTTACAAAATGAATATCTTAAATTTTGTCTCCTGTACGTTTACATGGCACAAGTGTATAATTTACAACGAGTAGAAAAAAGATTCTGTTACACATACAAAGGAACGTGCCGGATTTAAAAATTTGAAAGTTCCAAAAAGCTGAATAGTAGGTTCGATAGACAATTTTATCGCGCATCTAACCATATATAAGTTTTGGTTTGAAACTATAATCGTTTCTCAAAAAATAATTTTTCGAAAAGTTTGACCATTTACTAACATGAGATGAAAAAAGCTTTTTAACTCAGTAAGGAAGTATAGTGAAGATATTGTTTATACCGGATTTTGTAGAGTGGAAAACGCGCTATAAACTGGCGATAAAAGAATTAAAAGAACATGGTTGTTGTTTGAGAAAAAAATATTTTTCGAGCAAAATTTCAAATTTTAACTTTTCATACCCTTCACTAAAACTTCTATAGCAGGTCAGAGAAATACAGTACCACTTCCAAACTTTGTCAAAACTTGCCTGACACTTAACTCTATCTAGCAACACGACTTGAGCCTTTAAGACCGGGTGCATCAATAAGAAAAAAATTCAGCACTGAGAAAGCTTCGTACAGTTCAACGAAGGCCATTCACTTTGTTCCTCAAACTTTTCGTACGATTTCAAAGACCTTGACCTAAGCCCATACATAGAAAGATAGAGAATTTTCCAGGCTTCAAAATGAGCTAAAAATAATCTTCCCGAAAATATGCCCATATAGAACAATTGTCAAAATACTCGACAGATATCATGTTTTTCACCTATCTTAAGGCTTTAAAGGAATATTTCTTCTACATCTGCTCAGAATCGGAACAGGAAGATAGAGAATTTTCCGGGCTTCAAAATGAA